TGTTGACCAGGATGGTCTCGATCTCTTGACCTCGTGATCCACCCGCCTCGGCCTCCCAAAGTGCTGGGATTACAGGCTTGAGCCACCGCACCCGGCGATAATTAATTTTTTAAAATAGGGCTTTAAAAAATAAAATGTCCTACAGAGTGGAATAATGGACATTGGAGACTACAAAAGTAGGAGGGCAGTGGGGAGTGAGGGTTGAAAAATTACCCATTGGGTACAATGATCACTATTCAGGTGCTAGGTACACTAAAAACCCAGACTTCATCACTACACAGTATATGCATATAAGAAGCTTGCACTTGTGGCTGGGCACGGTGCTCATACCTGTAATACTCGGCCTTTGGGAGGCCGAGGTGGCAATATCACTTGAGCCCAGGAGTTTAGAGACCAGCCTGAGCAACACAGGGAGACCCTATCTCAACAAAAAAAAAAATTGTTTAACTAGCCAGGCTTGGTGGCACACACCTGTGATCCCAGCTAATCAGGACGCTGAGGTGGGAGGATGGCTTAAGCCTGGGAGAGTTGAGGCTGCAGTGAGCCATGATCATGCCACTGCACACCAGCCTGGGTAACAGAGAAAGACCTTGTCTCAAGAGAAAGAGAATGAAAAGAAAGAAGGAAGGAAGGAAGGAGGAAGGAAGGAAGGAAGAGACGGAGGGAGGAAGGCAGAGAGGGAGGGAGGGAGAGAGGGGAGAATGAAGGAGGGGGGAGGAAGGGAGGGGAGAAAGAAAGAAAGAAGAAAGAAAGAAAGGAAAGAAGGAAAGAAAGAGACCTGCACTTATACCCCCTACATATATAAACAATTTTAAAATAATTTTTTAAAAAATGAAATGTCCACGGGACATCAGCATAATTTATTTTTCTGCTGCTGACGTTTGGGTCATGAAGTAATCAAGCTGTTAATAACTAGTCACATTTGTTGCATCATTCTCTTAGTAAAAAGCTATTTTTAAAGCAAATTAATACCTCCTTTGGAGTTAAAGTTTCTAAAGAAGGATCAAGGATGAACATTTAAAATGGAAAACAGCAGGGTGAAATAAACCATGAACAGAACATTCAAATTAGTTGTGATCTCAACATGGATTCTTTGATTATGGAGAGAAAAAAGAAATTTTTTAAAAGGACAGGCTGTCTTTAAACATGTATATTGGGAGGATACTGAAAGCTACTGAAAAAAAAAAAAAAAACACTGTCAAGATGAAAGTGATTTAAAATCTCCTACCTGTTATTGCATAATAGACTAGAAGTAGCAGTCAAATACGCTCTTTTAACCAGACAGTGTCCGGGTTCCTCACCCTGTGAGAGAACTGTCCTCAACTCCACGCTTCCTTCTAGTCACCTCCACACCCATGCGCCCTACCCACTCCCTCCTGCCCTCTTCTGTTTTTGATCTGCCACTTCCCCAAGCTTCTCTATTCTGTAACCTTGACCTGAGCCATCCTTTCTGCAGGCTTTGAATTCTGTAGCACCCATGAAACTCTTCTAACTATCCCTCCTATTTGAAAGAGAGATATGTTTCCATGACAGTAGTGGCTTTCATGTTGTGTTTGTTTTTTCTTTTTTACTTTCCTTCTTTTTAAAAAAGCAAATTCTTCTTAAAAGTGTGAGCAGGTGTTCATAGATAGATACAGGCTGCTTTGGTTGAAACAGGGGCAGGAGCAAAAGCACTACCCAGTTAGCCTTCTCCTCATGCCTTGTAGGAACACCTGAGTTTCTGGAAACCTGTTTGAAAACCACTGCCTAGGCCGGGCGTGGTGGCTCACGCCTGTAATCTCAGCACTTTGGGAGGCCGAGGCAGGTGGATCACCTGAAGTCAGGAGTTCAAGACCAGCCTGGCCAACATGGTGAAACTCTGTCTTCAAAAAAAAAAAAAAAAAAAGAAAACCACTGACTAATAGTTTTCTTTATTGAACGTTTCCTTTATTAGGTCTTGGGAGTGTACCTTAAATGGGGTTATCAGATTTATTAAATAAAAATACAGGATGCTTATATATTACAATGTAATAATGGAAATTTTTAAAAAATACTGGATGTTAAGCTAAATTTGAACTTCAGATATTTTTAAATCAATATTTTAGTATACCTGTGTTCCATGCAATATTTGGAACATACTTATATCAAAAAATAATTTGTCATTTATCTGAAACTCAAAGTCAGTTGGGCATTCTGTACTTTTTCTGGCAACCTTAGCCCTGGAAGATATCAGGGCATTGGGTCACAAAGAAGCTGGAATCAGAGATAAGAAAAAAATAGAGATTTTATCCATACAATCGTGATACTCACCCCAAGGATTTCTCTTGTGTAGTAGTACTTGTCGGCCTTCTCATATTTCAGGAAAGCATCCACAAAGAGGAAAACATTCAGCCCCAACCAAACAGCCTAGAGGAAGAATAAAACATGCAAAGAATACAGTGAAATTTGGGTATGGGAAGGAGTAAATACGGGATAGGAATAGGAATAGTAGGGATAGGAATAGTGTCGCCATTCTGGCTATTTTGTGTTTACCTGTTTTCATTTTAAGTGAGTACAATCCTGCCAGAATCTAACTGACTTTCAGAGTGACTTAGCACTTTGAGACATGCATTAGACCAGAGCAGAATCAGCAAACTGAGGCCCGTGGCCCATTACCTGTTTTGCAACAGCCTGCAGGTTCATAATGGTGTTTATATTTTACATTTTCACATTTTCTAATGGTTGAGAAAATCAAAAGAAGAAGAATATTTTGTGGCATGTGAAAGTTATATGAAATTCAAATTTCAGTGACCATAAATAAAGTGGTATTGGAACTTAGCCACTCCTACTCATTTCTGTATTGTTTATGGCTGTTTTTGTGATACAATGAAGGAGGAGAGTAGTTAGGACAGAGACCATATGGCTTGCAAAGCCTGAAATATGTACTATCTAGCTTTTTACAGAAACATTTGCCAATTCTTGGACTAGACCATTGAAACTGTTGCACCTAAAAGATAGCAATAAGTGAATAAATGGATATCTGAAGAAACAAAGAACAAATTTAGCATCTATAACAATACTCATCTGAAAAGAACTAAACCATTCCAGATGGGCCTGCCTTTTTAATTACACCCTGACACACATTTTCCTGTTTTCAGATTGTGAGTATTTTTTCAGATTAATCTATTGTTCCTTTGGAGTTGTTTGAGCTCTTAAGACTGCTTTTGCCTTTCCCAAGTTCCATCTCTGTGTTGGCTAAAGGTGAAATTTGGAACTCACGGCCCATTGCCTTGGGGACCAACCAACTGGTCTTTAGCCCAAGTTTGGGGATGCTAGTCTGTAATTCGACGGGTCTCCAGGGCACTGGGATGCCTCTAGTATATATCCCTCGACCCATTATGAGTCAGAACCATCTCAGCACAACAGGCAAAGAGCCTTTAGCCCAGGGCATGGCCTATTCACATTCCCTAGATCTAGACCACTCACACACCTTTAGTACTATAGCATAGTAATTTAAAGTGTGATATTGGAGTCAAGTTGTAGCATTACCAGTTAATAGCTCTGTAATCTTAGACAGACATGTGATTTAACTTTTCTAAACCTCAATTTCTTCACCCGTAAAATGAGGATAATAACAGGACCTACTTTATGGTAATGCTATGAGGCTTACGTCAGATAATGCGTGTAAAGTGATTAATGCAATGCTTGGTGCTTAGTAAGAGATCAATAAATGCTAGCTACAGAGTTATGTCACTAGGGAACCGGCTTTACCAATCAATTTCTTCCTGCCTCCTTTGCTCAAATACCCTTTTCCAGAGCTGAGTGTCTTTCAGAGAAATGTCTTTGAAAGAAAAGAAAGTCAACAGCCACAGATACCTCAAGAATTTGGAAGACAGAAGAGAGAAACTTATTGAGAGGGAGCAGAAATATTTCTGGATCACAAAGAGTCACGGGCAAATAACTCTGTCAGTCCATCATCAACTGTAGGCAAGGCAAATGGTGAAATACAGTGATATCTAGGAGTAAGTAAGGAATTCCATTCCCCATCTTGGCTGTCATTTCCTCCACTGTGAACGAAAAAGAAGGTAAACTACAAGACGTGGGAAGAAGGAGGAATAAGACTATTTTTAAGTAATTTGTTTTTTATTAAAAAAGTCAGTGCATGGGAGTATATGTCAGAGATAATGAGAAGTCTAGGCTTGCCAGCTGGATTGGTGGGGGATGAAAATTCAAACCTAGAGAATTAAATGTGAGTCACCATCATGGCTGGTAAACTCTCCCAGCAAAAAATAAGACAGGGAAAAACTGCAGGTAAACATAGATTTTAGAGCTAGAAACACCTTATATTTGTATTTAATCTATCTAGTCACTGTATTAATCCCCTACTCCCCTCCCCTGCCCAGTCCCCCCAACCCCCCACCCCCCTACACACAAGACCTGAAGTCCAGAGAGTATAAATAATTTGATCAAGTCCACCCAGTTAGTAGCAGAATTCAAGGTACTTGCCAGGTTCCCTTTCTCCTAAACTAGTGTTATTTCCATTATAGTGCAAAAGGAACTCAATATAAAGCATTTTGAGCATTTAAAATATGTCATGGGATAACCTGACAAAATAAGCATCTTTGTTCAATGTAAAACAAACACTCTTCCAGGGAAACTCCACATTTTTCCTGGAGCACCTGGCGGGAGGGCGTGGAGAGAGGGGCGTGGCAGGGAACCAGGAGAAAAAAGAAGCATCACATTTTCTCTTTTCTCCTGTTTTGCATATGGAACCCAGAAGCAAAACATGAGAAAAGAGAGTAATGAATGAAGATCTAGGAAAGTGAGAAAGGACACAGGGAGCCCCAGGCTCAATTGTGGCTCAGAAACGGAAGAAGGATAGTGGAGAGAGGTGTTCAAGTGTTAGGAGAAAGAGATTGTACATACATAGGGTGGTGAAGGGATTCTGGTCTGAATGTCATTGAGGAGCTGGGTTCGAGTGATGCTTCTTCAATCAATTCATTGAGTGACATCTAGGTTTTATTTTCCTTTGTACAATCAATAAGTTGGTTTACATCTGCACTATGCAATGCCACAGCCACTACCCACATGTGGCTTCTGAGCACTTGAAATGTGGCTAGTCCTCACTGAGATGTGTTGTGCGTATAAATACACATCAGATTTCAAAGACTCAGTAAAAATAAAAATATGTAAATTATCTTAATATTTTCAATATTGAATACATACTGAAAAGATTTGTTGATACGTTGGGTTAAATGAATTATATTGCTAAACATTAACTTCACCTGTTTCTTTTTACCTTTTCAGTGGAGGTATTAGAAAATTCAGGAATTCCTGAAATACCACAGGGGAAAAAAAAAAGAAAAGAAAATTCAGGAATTATATTATTATGTGGTTTGCTATATTTCTAGTGGGTAGTGCTAGGCCATATGATCTCTAAGATCACTTTCATCTCAAACATTCAGTGATTTTATGAAATCTTGATGGGAGCAGTATAGGAAAGATACAGAGAAATCAGCACTCATGGTAGTAGTTATAAGTGAGATGGAAGAGAAAAGGAGATGACAGAAAATGAAAACAGATTGAAATTCCAAATACTTGTGATTTGACAATATGAACAATTGCATATTATTTGTCTCTGTCCTCTCGTCTGACCTAGAGTTGCATTTTTAAACTAACTGGTCTTGATGAACCCAATAATTGGCATGGAATCTTTCCCTTTCAAATAAATTTACAAATATTAACAAACATGATAACTCCTTAATCCTTCCTAATTAGCAGGAAGTCAAAAATCACTTACCAGAAACAAAACTGAAAACCAGTGGTTAACCACCCAGTTTCCCATTGTCAAGAGGTGGTTTGGAGCCCCTCTAGGCAGCAGAGAAGATTCAGCAATCTGGATTCTGGAGGTGTCCTTCAGGAATGGGACCTTTGTCCAGCTTAGGGTCTGTGAGTCTTTAAGATGTGAAAAATGCACACCTACCCCAAGAGCTCCCAGGAATGAATAAGTTTATTCTGCTTTCCTTCTCTGGACGGAACTGTGCTACCAGGTTAGATAGACCAGCCCTACTTATGAGAACCACTGGGGTTTTCCCTGTGGGGTTTTTACCCCTTCAGGAAATAGCAATCTCCTTGGGTGAAAATATTCTCTCTCATCATCTTATCCACATGACCTAATGTGAAGCACTGCCTTCCTAGATAAGAAATTTGCTAAAGTTTCTCATAAAAAAAAAAAGATAATTAGTCTGGGCCTATAAACAGATTACTGCAGGAGAAGTAGGGAGGGAAGCATGTGTGGTAAGGAAGCTGTTTCAAGATGGACTTTCCAAAGTGTTGCTACGTCTGTCAGCTGCCATTTGGACCTCGGTCTGGCTAGCTCAGAAACTTTAGTATACCAGTTCCCCTGGAGGATGATCCACGGTTGACATATATGATGATGGCTTTGGGGAGAGCTTGACTGACTGGAAGGACAAGTAAAAAGAAGGGTCAAATAGAATAAGAGAAAATTTAACAAGTATAAATGTACACTTTGGTTCAAAATAAACAGAGGCAGAAGAATGGAGACGATTGTCTTCTAGTATGATAGATTAACCAGAGTTGTATGTTCAGCTCTGGGCACTAATTTTTTTTTCCTTTTCTAAAATGGTGAAATATACACGGAAGAGTATGTAAAAAATATATATGTAATTTAAAGAATAATTTTTTTTATTGTACTCTAGGTTCTGGGGTACATGTGCTGATCATGCAGGATTGTTGTATAGGTACATACTTGGCCAGGTGGTTTACTTCCTCCATCCTCGCCCCCCCTCCGTCACCTGCAACTGGCATTTCTCCCCGTTATCACTCCCAGCTTCCCCTCCCTCCACTGTCCCTCCCTTAGCCCCCGCCACCGACCCCAGTGTGTAATGCTCCTTTCCCTGTATTCATGTGTTCTCTTTGTTCAACACCCGCCTATGAGTGAGAACATGTGGTGTTTGGTTTTCTGTTCTTGTGTCAGTTTGCTGAGAATGATGGTTTCCAGTTTCATCCATGTCCCTACAAAGGACATGAACTCGTTGTTTTTTATGGCTGCATAGTATTCCATATGGAAAACGAATTGCTCCAGCATCACTTCTGAAAAGTACTTTTTTTTTTGAGACAGGGTCTCATTCTGTCACCCAGGCTGGAGTACAGTGATATGATCTCCATTCACTGCAACCTTCGCCTCCTGGGTTCAAGCGATTCTCATGCCTTAGCCACCCGAGTAGGTGGGACTACAGCCATGCACCATCGTGCCTGGCTAATTTTTATATTTTTAGTAGAGATGGGTTTTCACCATGTTGGCCAGGCTTGTCTTCAACTCCTGGCCTCATGTGATCCACCCACATAGGCCTCCCAAAGTGCTGGGATTACAGGAATGAGCCACTGGGCCCAGCCATTTTTGAAAACTACTTTCAAAAATATACTTTCTTTGATGATCTAAAATGTCAGTTCTATTATATATGAAATGTCTAGATACACATCATTATGTTCTGGAGCTCTTCATTCAGTTATTCCATGCTACTGCCCTAATGACTAAGTCTTGACATCTGATAAGACAACTTTTGCCACCTTGTTCTTCTTTGGCTATTCTTGGCTTTTTGTTTGTTTGTTTGTTTGTTTGGGGGTGGTTCTGCGTTTTGTTTTTATTCTTGGCCTTTTTCATTTTCATGTAAATTTTATAATAAAATTCTTGCATCTCCTTTGTCATATTTACTTCTAAGAACTTTTTTTTTTTTTTTGAGATGGAGTTTCGCTCGTTACCCAGGCTGGAGTGCAATGGCGTGATCTTGGCTCACCGCAACCTCCATCTCCTGGGTTCAAGCAATTCTCCTGCCTCAGCCTCCTGAGTAGCTGGGACTACAGGCGTGCGCCACCATGCCCAACTAATTTTTGTATTTTTAGTAGAGACGGGGTTTCATCATGTTGACCAGGATGGTCTCGATCTCCTGACCT